TGGTATACAACACATTCTTCTATGTTTATCAAACGTTGACATAGTGTATTGGGGACACAGAGCCTTTGTGCTCAAGTCACAACACAGCATAAGATACATGCACACAATAGAGATACACTGCCACGACAGAACAGCCAACTCCACTTCCTAAAAGGGAGGTCAGCTGCCTGAAAAGGCTCAGAAGGTGTCAGCGCACTGTGTCAGCATGCTCAGCTGTCCTTGACCATTTACCTAAACAAGCCTCCAAGAGACTGATCCATACGTGATGGCTTTTGTCTATTTGCAATGAAAGATGCCTTTTCAATGACCAAAAGAAACATGTCTAGTGTCAGGTGTCCACTAGGAAAAGTAGAAGGTAGTGCTGAGGTCAGACTGAGAAAAGAATATTTATCAGGTATGCATGATACCCATACATGTTTACGATACAAATAATTCACACATTTAGCTCTTTAAACATTTTTTTATTTTTCCTGTATAGAAACAATTGTGGTAGAATCTTAACACATCCAATGTCTATTAGAATTTGTACATAGTTGCATCTTAGTATCACTTCCAAGAACTGTCCCTGTGAGCTTTTATTATGATTCAAGAACATACCAGTCAAGAGCCAGGTGGGTGTGGACCAAGAGCTAGTAATCACAGCTACTTAGGCTGCTAAGGACAGAAACTCGAGCTCATTTCAAGGCCAAAGCAGCCAACACAGTGAAACTCCTCTGTCTTGAACAACAAAAGGACTTACCAGCTGAAATCTCAAGATGCATGGGCCATGAACAAGGTAGATGAGCTGCTGGGGGGTACCAAAGCAGTCTGGGAAAGTTTCTCAAATGCTCTCTAGAAATTCTATTAGAAGAGTGGAACGGGAGTCAAGCACTGTAACTAGGAAAATGATCCTAGATATAGGCTCCTGTCCCCTGCCTGATACTAGAAACCGTAACTTTCCTCACCTATACTTTTTAAATTAGGAAAATAGAAAGTGTACGGTGAATAGGATAACTTAAAATTTCAGGAGTTATACTCTAAGGACTTTGTAAATTTAAGTAGCTATTTGGGAAGATTTTCCAGTTTGGCAAGGACATGAGGAATGTCACAGGTTAGGATTCTAGGCTACTAATGCTCAGACTTCAAATGGGGTTACTTCAATAAAAGATAACAAGCTGGGGATGTAGCTCACGGTGAAGGCTCTGCATTGGACCCCCCAGTCCCACACATACAGATACTTAATACAACTAAGCTACTGAGCATGATGGCTTAGTGCCACTGTATCTGGAAATCGTGTGATCGTGGTTTACCTTTGGCATCACTCACCTGACTGGGAGCTGCAGCTCACTGTTGCTGCCCAGCATAGGCCAATTACTGCATATCCTTACTTCAGGATAAGCTCAACATTTAAAGAAAAAAAAAATTGACAAGGGATCCATCTATGTAGCACAGGTTGGCCTTGAACTCCCAAGGATCCTCCTGCCTCAGCCTCCAAAGTGCTGGGATTATAGGCATGCCCCAGCACACCCTGCTCAACATTCAAAAACTTAAGTAGTTTTTACTGCCAATGTATTACTCTCACACCATCATAAAGTTGGAAAATAGCAAGCTGACCCATTTTATGTTGAAGACTTTCAATACTAAGTGATTCCGTAGCAACTTGTTTGCATATCTTCGAAGCAATGAGAACAAAATTATGAAATGGAATTTCTATCTTGGCCTTCAAAAATCATCTAAAGAGTATGAGTCACCATTCTACCTATGTTATACATTTCATAATTCTGGAGAAGTGACTGTCTACTCCCACTGAAAAATACCCAGTGGTGATTAACACACTAGTTTAGACCCATAAAATGCTGTCTTAGACACTGTAAATGTAAGATTATTTCTAAAGAATAAGGGATTTTTCTTTTTTTTTTGCGGAACCGGGGATTGAACTCGGATCCTTGCGTTTGCCAGTCAAGCGCTTATCCTACCGAGCCATCTCCCCGGCCCAATAAGAAATTTTTCAAATGAGAAATTAAACAGTAACAAAAATGTCCTGATTAATGTTAATTTTCTGGGATTTTTGTTACATGTTGAGATTATTAGTGTTGGACTACTACTGTTCTTAGTACCCGTAAGGAAAAATAAAGACAATTCAAACAAACTGAAACAGATTTTAATTATGTGGGTAACAAATAGTCCAAGAAATACTTTTGCATTCCTATTGATATTTAGAAATACCAATCTGGGAAGATTGTTTCAATTTTCCCCACATTTTTATTTCTCCACATGCTAAACAGTCATTTAAAATTGTTCAAAGCAATAAAGTATATTAATGATTTTACCTGAAATATAATTCTACAAGGTTCAATATTTTATAAATTTGGCGATATATTTCTGAAGTTACTAGAACACATACATGTAGGCCAGCATATCAGCGGAAACAGGAAAAATGCTTTCACGAAACATGTAAAATCGACAGTCTATGCAGTAGCTCTTACCACAACATGATACAATGTAGTTGTAATGCAGGACTTTATTAACTGAATACTTACTATAAAACAATTGATCAGTATGCTTATTTCTGTACTTTCAATTTTGTATTTACCCATTTGATAACACGAAGTTCCCTAATTTTATAACATTAATATAAATCTTACTGTTAAAGATTAGCTCTGAATTTATAATACTTCAGAAATGCAATTTGGATAATCCTGTTATTCTTTACAACTCAGCACTGAACTACTTAAATACATAGAGTTAAAGAGAAAAAAAGATGGTGTTGCATTTGTTTTATTAGTCAGTGGCTTGCTGACATACATGGTACAGTAGTTTTTGAATAGGGCCCTCATACCTTCTTCCCCACCCACAAGCTTAAATACACTTCTGAATACCATGAGCACATATTTGGAGCTCTCATTGAAGGTTCTGGTCAAGACTAGTTAAGCAAATATTTCCCAAACGGGAAAATAATTATTTTGGGAGTGGATGTTGAAGCACTCAAATGACAGAAGAACGGGATTCGAAAGTTCTTAAAAAAAAAAAAATTCCGTTAACCTCTAGAGATTTACTATGTATCTGTAGACGAGAAAAACAAACTGCGTGAAACAACTTGATTAAAAAAGCAATCGTTTAGGCGGACTGTCGCGAGCGCCTGAAAATACAATGTTTCCAGCGCACCCCAGGCCCGCAGACAGTTACAAAGACGCCGCCACTAAGTTGCAGCGCGAGAACCGAGTTACCGCGTCCCTCGAGAGGGAGCTTTTGTTCTTTCGGACTCGTCCCGGCGCCCTCCCCGCCGCCCTCCAGGCCGCCCTAGAAAGCCGCCGCGGCGCAGCTCCTCCGCACCCGCACCGGTCACCCACGCACGCACTCCAGCGGCGTTGCGGACGTCAGCAGCACAGAGCGGCGTCCCTCGGGTCGGCCCCGCGCCCGGCCCGCGCCGAGCCCCGGTCGCGCGGCGTGGGAGGCGGCCGCGGTTGCCCAACAGTGGCGCGCGGCGCCCGGTGTGACGCAGCAGCGAGCGGCCCGCAGCGGAGCCGGCCGGAGGGAGCGAGCGAGGCCTGGCGACCCTGCCGCCCTCGCGTCCCCCCGCAGTCGCCATCCCCTCCCAGCTCCGTTTCCGTCTCGGTCTCTCCGGTGCGACGGCCCCGCGCAGCCGCCCGCGAGACCGGAGCGCTCGTACACACAGCGGGGACCCCTCAGCGCCTACTTCCCAGAGTCCCACGACGGACTGCAGAGGGAGGCCGATCCTGGAGGGCTCGGCCGGCCACAACCCCGGCCAGAGTCCGACCACTTCCGCGCTGCCGACGTGCACGCTCCCGCTGGCGGGCGCGCGCCCGAAACGCCGCGCCAATCGCTGCTTCTCCACGCCCACGGCTCTCGCAACGCAGCCCCGCCCACCGCCCGCGCGCCCGCCGAAAGGGCTCGGCGTGCGCGCGCCCGCTCACCTCGCAGCCTGTGAGGAAGGGGAGGGAGCCGGGCGCTGACGTCGCGCGGGAGGCGGAGGCGACGGCGACCTCGGTGGCGGCGGCGGCGGCTACGACGAAGACGGTTGCGCTCGTTTGCTCTCTTGGCGTCATGGCGGCTGCCGGAGGCCGATAAACGGCGGGAGCGGGAGCGCGCGGCGGCGGCGGCGACTCGCTACTTCTCGCTCCGGCCGCCGCGGCCTTCGGCGCCGGGATAATGAATTGATTGTTGGAGCCGCTCGCAGGAGATCGCGCGTCGGTGCCGCTCCGGAGCTTCCCCTTCCCCCTCACGGACTCCAGCTCTGCCCGAGGCGCCCGGAGCTCCGGGACTCTGCGGCGGAGCTCGCGCGTGGGCCCGGGCGCGGGGGAGGCTGCCGGCCGTGCCGGCTCCAGCGGACGAGCGAGCGCGCCCCGG